TCATGAATAATTAGGGTTAGAAGACAAAAGAAATTGAGAATTTTATTTTTTATTTTCTATTTTATTTTGATTTGCCACGTGCACAAACAAAAATAGAATTACAGTACAATGATTAATAAACTACAAAAATTAATATACACGATTACAATGAATATACAAAACTACAATTTATATATTAAAGGATAGAAAATAAAAAAAAAAAAAATGGCAAGGGAACCCTTATAAAAACCACGGGGCTCGTAAGCTTAGGTTCCCATTCAAGAAACACCAGATGACTAATTTAGAGAAAGTAATTATTGATAAGCCTTATTCAATGACAGAGTTAATAGTTACCAACAATATATGTTTTATGTTTTTTCCTAAAAGATGCCAGAATCAAACTAGGTTAAAATCATTTAACCTGAATTTCATTTTGATCTACAACATATAAAAAACACACGTATACAGTCCTTTTAGGATAATATCAGTGACCAATCTTTATAAGACTTCAGCAATACATTAAAAATATGTATTTGATGGGCTCTCCACATTTTGGAAACTGTCCATCTTTTCTGAAACTGTCAACCAGAGGCTAACGTTTAAAATCTTAGGACATCGTCAGCTAGCCCTTTGAACTTGACAACTTATTTTTCCAGCTACAAGGAGCAAAACATAGTCTTACAGTTTGCTCAGGGATCCATATTGGCATACGACATACTTCCCCTGCCAAAATTTTACTTGTCCGTTCAATAGGGAAACGGCATGTAATTGGAAAGTTTACTTTTTTACTATTTTCATGTGACCAGTCTCCCAGTAAATCATGCCCATAGTTGCGGCTGTCAGTGGACACCAAAAATCCAGGTACAAATGAAAACCAAGGCCTCTAACTCTTTGACTGCCATGAAGGCAGAAAGGAACACTTTCACTCTTCCTACTTGTATTTGGCTTGTATTTCCATTTAACTAAACGCCTTGTCCTGATCAAAACAATTAATATGATTGCATCATGTGTTTTCAAGGATGCAGTATTACAGAGCATCAGCCGTTGAGAAAATTATGAAAATTGAGCCTCCAATGATTTCATTCACGATGAGACATCATCCCAGATGGCAGACCAAAATGATGATTTTATCGCAACGGAAAGCTGCAAATCTTCCTCTATTTTTTTCAAGTTTCAAATGGATGACAAGTGGTCAGAATGTAGGGAACTCACAAGAAAACTTAAGAAATGGTAGAGTCAAACTAAACTCGTCCACTGGACGAGTTTTCGTATTGATTTGGTCGTCCCTACAGTTTTTTAGTAGATGTAGTCACAGACAACCGGACAACTGCAATTACGGATTCCTGTTTGCATAATCTATATTTGTTACGATTCAGCTTTTACTCTCAATTTGCATGTTAAAAAAAATAAACAATACTAAAATTTGTATGTTAACAGCTACTTAATATGCAAATCTACACAACCAGTGTTCTCCTTTTCAGGCGGTAACCAGTAAAATTTACCGCCTGTAACACCACTCATTGCCACCTAAAATCCCTTGGAATTCTTAAAAATTCGACAGGTAAAAGAAAAAAATGTAGTTGTTTCACCGACATAATTGGTATTTTATCCTTGTAAAAGAATGAATAAACAGATTAAAAGATAAACTGCGCAGGCTATGGTTTGTAAGTTCTATCTATGGCTTTCGAACTTAAGGCAAGATCCGTGAATTTTTGGCAGGCTTTCTGCCACAATTCCTTCTCATTTCTCTCCATCAGCAATGGTAAGAAGTCACAAATGGAAACAGTTACAGGTAAAGTGATTTTAGACGTTACAAGATTTGGGAAATCAGTTCCATGAACTTCCCACCTAACTATCGGCTTTAGAAAACTGGTGTTGCTAAATTGATCAACATTCACGTGTGGCGATCGAAAACTTCATCTTTGTCACAAAATGCTCCACATTCAGGTCAAAAGTGTTTAAAATCTATTTTCAGATGACGTTTTGAGAGAATCCTTGACAATAAACCCTTCCAGAACGTGAATGAAAACAAATA